CACCACCCCTTTCTGTTAGCTATTTTATATTGCTCTTTTTACAACAGAGCAATGCATGTATGAAGGCCAGTCTGATATATGCAGCTTACAACTGTCTGCCATTTAAAAACTTTCCCATATAGTTGCAGAGCACATTTTTTGTTGATAAATTTTGTATTGCACTCAGGTTTGAAAGTGCTTAATTCCTGCTTAGATGCTCTTACATCTTGGCTTGCTATTTACTTGAGGTTTTTTTTTTTTTCAAAATTATGTCCAAATTCTCACTTTGGGAAATGATTTAAGAAAAATAAAACAGTGGATGGGCAGTCATTCCTCCCCAGTGTTTCGTCTACTTCTGTAGGAAGGATGCAGGAAGTAAGAAAAGAGGTTCAAGGCATACAGTGCATTTTCTAGATGCCTGAAATAACTGGCCCATCTGAAGAATCTCAAGCAAATTAACATCTTCCTAGTGCTGGCACAACCCAAAATAGATGAATAACTCACACTGAAACTACTACCATTCTGCTATCTTTCGTTTGTTTTCATTTCTCCTCAAACATATTAAGCCATAATAAATATAACAAACTTCTTGTGAATACCACTGTTAAAAATGAGAGATTAATGTAGAGTAAAAACCTATGCAGAGGGAGAAAAGCAAAACACCTGAGATACAGAGGGAAAAAAAAACAAAGACACAATTTACTTTTTGGCATGATGCCAAAACTTGCAGGAAAAACAGATGTCCCTTTAAGAAATAAGCTAGATATCTTCATAGGGGAAAAAAATAATAATTCATAGTTTCTTTTCTTTACAGGTTTACATGGAAAAACACCCTGTGGCTGTCCATTCAGAAGCCCTACAATGCTCAGACCTAGGATTCAGAACCAGAACAACAGAAAGAAAAATTTAGTGATGAAGATTAGATTTGAGGATTTTGGTAGAAGAGTAGGCTTTTTTTTAGGAGAGGCTGGCAGGCTGTAGAAAGAGAATGTGCTGGAGAGGGAAGAATGCCTGGTAGGGAAACCTATCACTCATTATCAGATCCAGGCAAAGATTTTCAGAAGTACTGCCAATGTGTGGCAGTAAATTAATTGTCTTTTAGACATGGTGGCCAGCAGGGAGTAGATGAAACCCTCCTTTGCCTTAGATTAGGTTCAAGTTCATCTTTCTCTCATATTCTCATGGATCCAAGGGAAAGGCTACTTTTTGGGTTATGTTAATTATTATACCCCAGTCTAACAAAGAAATGACACATACTCTAGCTAGGGGCACTTTGAACACAAGTGACATGGCGCAGTACAGGTGGCACAGAATCACATCACTTATGTGTGATCCTGGTGGACTCTTGCAATTTAAGCTTTCACTTTTAACAGTAGCAGTACTGCAAGTTTGCTGCAATGGTTCCATGCATGATGCTTCAAACAATCCTACTGCCATGGCCAAGCTCCAGTTTTGTAGTGAAAAAAGTCGGAGGATCTATGGAAGTAATTTTCTCTTTGCTAAATACTGACCTGTAAGAAATACTGACTTGAATAAACTCTTCTTTTATGCAGTGTCTGCATACTTGTGTTTTGATTAACAGGAAGGTGGGAAAGGTGCTAATTACAAGTGTTTTAATTCTGCAACACTTTCACAATAAATTTACGCTTAGAGAAAGTTCTCCAGTGTAGGAATTTCAGTACAGGCTTTAGTAACAATCTTGCCCTGCCAAACCAGACAGGAGAACAAGGAGCTAGGAAAAGACAAAACCAGACTCTTTCAGAGGCTAAATGCTTGACCACAAAATATCCATCTCCTGTACTTCAAGCAAAACTAAGTGAACATACCTGGATATAGTTCAGAGTGGAATTTAGCTGGTCGTGCTGTCAGAATGCAGACAAGGGATGCAAGTGATGTGCACTATTAAGTTATTAAGGAAAAGTCTTCTTTCAGCAGAATGACTAAAATAGGAGAGGAAAAAAAAATGAACTTCCCTAAAATACACTGCAAATGTTTGAAAAAGATGACCTCAGAAGAGTACACTACACAAAAAGCAAGTCAGGAGTAGAACAGTATGTATTAAATCCCTCGGACTGGATGATTTGCATAAGCCATCATGGTGTGACCTCTCTCACTTGACTACCAGTCAAGTGTGTGAGATCCTAACTCAAAATAACAGGGCAATCCAATGAATGTAGAGACAGAAAGAGAATGGAGGAAAATGTTAGCAATGAGGAACAGTAGCACTGTATGTAACTGTATATAAAAGATATATAACTGTATGTAGCTGATTACAGCTTTACAGCCCTAGAGTGAAGCCTTCTTCCAGGGCTAAAGGAGATGTTTCTCCTGACTCTTTCATGGCTTCTGTGTATTGCCTACACTTAGCTGCTTTTAAAAATCTGATACTTTGCTATGTCAAAACTTCTTTCATGTGTAGATGAAGAAGGGGACAGAAGGAAGAATTTCCTCAGCTGTAGCCAAAGATCTGAAGCAGTTTGTTTTCATCTGCAACCATGGTTATTTGTAAAGCTTCCTATAGTGAACCCAGGGTACAATCAGTGCAAGTTTTGTCATTTCTATTTTGTGCTCACACAACTCTTCCTGCTCACACTTTCTCTTAATTATGTGTTCATTCTTTTCTAATATTTTTTCATAGCAGAATTTTGAGATACTAGCCAATTATCAATCTTTGGGTTCCTCATAATAAGACCTCTTCTTAAAAAAGCTTTTGTTGAACCATCAGAGGACCTTTTGTTGTTACCTCAGTGTCTCAACCTGACTGTATCCTGTGACTAGCTGACATACTTACTAAATTGCAATGGTTTACATTTTAGCTAACTATATTGTGAAGGCATGCTTTTTGAACTGTGAGTGGGATTTTACAACTGATCATACTGATAAACTCATATTCAATCTAGAATCAAAATTGGATGTGCCAAGTCTTTTGATTGTGTCAGCCTATAACATTTTTATTTTTAAAACTCAAAACTTATTTGAAATCCTTTCTTTTAATCTCCTGCCTAATATTAATAAAAAAGAGTGTTCACAAAATATTTTCTGTCACGTCATGCTTGAGCATCAGAAATTTCAGTTGCATACTTTAGAACATGATCCTCTGTTTGGATCCAAGTGTAAAGCAAAACTCCTTCCAGCCTTTCTCAGTTATATCGAGAGTCCTGTTTTCTGCATCTAGAAGAAAGTCATGGGTTAAGATAGAATTTCTTAATATGTTGACTGACCCTGACTTAACTTCATCTTTGAGACAAGCCTTTCAGTGTGGCTTAGGTGTGTCTGTAAAGAGGTTTGTACTGCCAGTTTGTAGCTTCTGTTCTGCGTTCAGAGTGAAGGCTCGCTTTGTAGCGTCCTAAGAAGTATCTATCTATTTTATGTAAGTGTTAGTGACCGTAGGTCTTCAGATATTGGTGTAAAAATTTTAGGGAAATCAGAACAAATATTGCTTGTTATTTTCTACAGAAATAAAATAGCCTGATTTGTACAAAAAATCAGTCAAGTGTTAAATTAGATTTACTTGTTGATATACTGGTTGATATGCTTGTTGATGTGTGAAACCCCAAGATTATATGGAGTGCTGTCAGTATTTATGGTACTTAAGTCTTCGATGAAGAGTGTTACAGTGGCTTCTTCAGTAGGAACTCTCCTCCAGAGAAAGATAACTTATATTTAGTATGAAGTTTTAGTAAGTTCACATATACATAATATTTCTGTATTTAGCTATGCAAATGTTAGTCACCCTCCTCCTGTTACCATAATTAACTGTTTGGGTCCCTCTTTTCTAAGAAAGCATTAAACTTAATCCAGATTTGGTACTAAGGAGATGGAGGGTGCAAATAAATGCAATAGTGAAAACAATGAGCAAGTTGAATGACTAAAAGGTGTGATATGAAATTCATCAGAGGATTGAGCAAAATCAATCCCACCATGAAAATGTTACTGCATAGAAAAATGAGAAGGACTTCTTTGGTCCTGAGAGTGCTGGCTTTGCCACCTGCTCCATGGGACAATGTGGCTCCTGGAGAGGAGTGAAACTGTCTCTTCAAATCAGGAGAAAAGCATTGGCTTTCCCGGAGCTGAATATGCATATAGAATATGCATATCGTGTTGGGTATGATATGGCCTCTCAACAGAGTCCTTAAATCCTGAATGGAACTGCAGTGGGTCTTGTAAATCAGGTTCCTTGGCAGAAATTGGAGATTTGATGCTTTCAGTTGTGTGATGGAGCTGACTTGATAGAAATAATCTGAAGGATTTTTTTTTTCCGATTTCAAAAAAGTTGTACAAATAAGCTCTCCAGAGTGGATGATTAGAACCTGAATCAACAGTGGCAATTTAAGTAATTTTTTTAATAATTCAGATAGAGAGAGATTTGGTCCTGATACAGTTATCTGCTGTTGGCACAAGGAAAACTACTCTGAGAGCTCCTTCAGTTTAATACAATCCACTGGGGCTGGATGTTACAGAAGTCTGTGTTAGATACAGGGACAAGTTTTTAATGAAACTGGTAACTAAACAAAGGAATAATTTACCAAGGATTGTGATATCTGTCACTGTATATTTTTAATGTAAAACAGGACAGTTTTCTGTAAGATTTACTCATACAGAAAAAAAAAAAAAGTGGACTATGTCCTTTGACTTGCTTCATACAGAAGATTAAATGAGAAAATCACAACTGTGATCATGTAATCTATGAAGAATTAAAAAATCATTTTTTGTTGTTTGTGATGTGATATAGATAAATAGATAAATGCTATAACATAGACTTACTTTTTTTCTTTTAAAAAGGTGGAGCGGCATCAAACTACAAAACAAGAAGAGACAGTTATATGCTTTGTAGGGATTACAAGGAGTCATAAGAGACTCCTTGTGTGTTTCAGTAAAAATCAGGACTGACTTGATCCCAAGTATAAGTTTATGTCTCCTGAATAGTGTGGCGAATCATCTTTTGGTGGCGTGATGGGAAACTGGTGGCTAAGCAGGAAGCTAAAAAGCTAAATGAACAAATAACATTAATTTTAAGTGAATTAACACAACTTCTTTCCCTTAGAATTTCACAAATTACGGTAACGACAGTGGTGGGGTCAGTATGTCTCCGTCTGCAGTCCTGGATGACCTGGCAAAATACAGCTATTATACTCTATGGTTAACTGCAAGCACAGCTGTTGGAGATGGAAACAAAACCAGTGAAATAATAGATGTGTATACAGATCAGGATAGTAAGTGACCAAATTTTTATTTTGGTTTTGCAGTATACATCACTGATTCTAATTATTAAATATTTTATAACTTTAAAATGGTTTTATTGTTATGACGACAGAGTTAAAGCCCGTAGGTGTTCTTGCCAATACTGTAGTTTTCCTTTGCTTATAAAACCTCTGAGTCTTCGCATTGTAATACAGAGAACACAATTCATGAACTTCTTTTACAAGCAGTAACAGAACTATCACTAAGGCTCTTTCAATGAACAAATTCAATAGCTGAGTATTCATATTTGCTTCTGGAATATTTTGCTTTTGATAATGAAGCATAAATGATTATAAAAATGTATAAAATATTTAGCATATTGTGTATTAAGTTTACAAAATAATCATAGGTTTCTGTTTTGGTTTTGGGATCTTTATTACTATAATCCATGCATTTATTTTTTGCTTATTATCTCTCATAGTCCCAGATGGTTCTGTTGAAAATCTGGTCTATCAAAACATTTCCTCATCTTCTGTAAATGTAAGCTGGCTTCCACCATCTCAGCCAAATGGTTTAGTCTTCTTTCATGTTTCTCTAAGTTTATTGCATCTGGAAACCAAAGAGATACTGTCTTTCCTTACCTACAACACAAGCATTATTTTTGACAACCTGGAGAAATACACTGATTACATTCTGAAAATTACACCAGCTACTGAAAAAGGATCTTCTGAACTATATGCTCTAAGTCTTCACATCAAAACTGATGAAGATGGTAAGTTTAAGAATGGTTTTTTACACACTCCTAAATAAATGTGTAAAGTCCAAATAGCTTTCTAAAGAAAAAAGGATTATTGTGTTTATCTTTCTCATGATATTTAGAAGCCTTCAGAAATCTTTTTTTTTATTCACTAACATGAATAGCAGGCATCATACATTTCTGTTTTGAGACCATGAAATAGAATTCTCCATTTAAAGCAAAAGTTTAAGTACATTCATTCAAAATTTAATTTTTTTTTAAAAAGAAAGCATTGATAGCTAAAAGATGTTTTTCATTGTTATTCATCTTTTTGCTGTGGCTCTCCTTGTTTTTCTCTTTCTTATTTCTTAATGTAGTCCCAGAATCAACACCTATAATCAAAACGTATTCAAATCTCTCAACTACCTCAGTTATGCTTTCATGGGACCCTCCTGTTAAACCAAGTGGTATCATAATAAGTTATGATTTACATTTATTTGGCCCAGAAAGGAATAATTCATTCTCTACCTCCAATAATTTTGTGATCTTGGAAGATCTTGCACCTTCCACACTGTACAGCATTTACGTAGCTGCAAGGACTACAAAAGGACCTGGGCCATCTGCCACGCTTCTGTTCTACACAGATGAGTCAGGTGAGCAAAGGATATTGTAACAAACTTTGAAATTTTGGCCCTATGTTGTTGCACCGATCTTGGGTCTGATCAGCAGAACTGGAGAGAGTTGAGGTGAAGGATTTGTTTTCTGTTGGTGTGTGCGTGAAGTCTTTGGTGAGAAACGAATGCAACAAGGGAACTCTTTTTGGAGTTCTGTTCCTCCAGTCTCTGTATGCTGGAGGAGGTCACATTCTTCTCAGGATACTGAAAGTAACTCCAAAGATAAATCTTTTGCCTTTGGAATACATCACAATTTGCCAAGTGTGAGCAATTTTGAAACAAGCAACACTACTTTCCTCTTCTTCTCTCACATGTGTAACTGAAAAATGATCAAACATGGAAGTATTTCTTATGCATTTCTACAGGTCTCCTTTACAAGGCCCTACTCGCATCAATGAGGTAAACGACATTTTAAATATGTATATTGCTGTGCTCAATATGTACCACAGAAGGCAAAGTATGTTTGATTGCAGCAATAAATTTAGTATGATTTTTGTCAAATGGCCTTGGTTCTGACAATGGGGCTGTATAAGCAATTCATAGATTCTTTAGGTCTCTGATTGAATATCCTGTCTAAACAGGTATTTCTGATTAATGGAATTCATTTCAAGGCAAAAATAAATAAATAAAATAAATACAATATCCATGAATTAATATTTTGTTGAGTTCAGATATAAATGGTAACAAATCTCCCCATGCTCTTCTGCTCTGAAAAATTTTTGCATTTGCCCAGATTATTTGTGATTCTGAAATCAAGCGCATTTTTCTTTTGCAGTGCCATTAGCTCCGCCTCAGAATCTGACCATTATGAACTATACTGCAGATTCTGTATGGCTAAAATGGGATCCAAGTCCTCAGCCGAATGGTATCATTATGAGCTACAATTTAAAGATTTATCAAAACAACAGTGAAAAAATATTTTATCAGGTATGTGTATATATTTACCTGTGTTTAATCTTTTGGGCAAGTATATACTGTTTTCAGATTTTAAGAACAAAGTATATGAAAAATCCTCTGGGTGTATATTATCCTATTCCTAAGATTATGAAACTCCTGTAAATTATTATGTTCTGTAAGATAATTTTCTTATCCTCACACCATGCTAATTGTTCTTTTTTTTTTTTTTTTTTTTTTTTCTGAATAGAGAAAAGTGGCTAGATCTTTATTTACCCTGAGTTTCTAGTATTTCATTAATAATGCATTTTATTAATATTTAGTCCATGCTTCAGTGCAAATTTGATGTTAGAAAATGATGAATATGACCTTTTTTCGGGGGGGGGTCACCTTTATTTAGTGATCTAGTATGGCTAGATCTTTATTTACCCTGAGTTTCTAGTATTTCATTAATAATGCATTTTATTAATATTTAGTCCATGCTTCAGTGCAAATTTGATGTTAGAAAATGATGAATATGACCTTTTTTCGGGGGGGGGTCACCTTTATTTAGTGATCTAGTATCTGTGGACTTGTGAGATTCACAAAAGACAGAAGGAAAGTCCTGGTAATCTTGCAAATGTTTGAAACCATATCTTTAACCATTATTTTTTAAATTGAATTGAATAAGAAGACTTGAATACATGAATACATTTTAACTAAAATAGATACTGTGAAAATATATATAGAAATACACATTAATAGATGCATTTATATGGCATCAAAAAAGTACCATAAACTATGAGGGCAGTAAGCTGAGGTGAGAATTGCATCTTGGACTTAGAACCTATATAGTGAGGAATTCTGCTTGCATGGGATTCTTGTTAAGTGAAGAGGCATCTCTACAGTGGTCTATGAGTTGAAGACATGCAGTACACTGTGGCATTGCCGAGGGCCAAATTAACTCTAGCAGTACCGTCTTTTTTTCCAGAGACCTAACATGCAAGGGACATACTTGCACTCTTGTTCAGTATATGCATTGCAGGAATCACTCCTCTTGAGGGAACATGACCTGTTATTCTCTCCCTTATGCAAACTGCGGTTATTCCCCATTATGGAAAGAGGGGCATGTCATGTCCCCAGTCTCTCCTGTGATCCTTGGAGCTGGGAGGTGCTATGCACATACGGAAAAGAAACAGTGATTTGTTCTGACAGCTGACTGTTCTGACTTGCAATTACATTCTTCGGCTCCTCATGGAGGCCACACAAAGATCTTTTGCCCACTTGCTGTCACAGGCAGATTCAAACCAAACCAAGCCCTACACAACTGCCTGTCAGTAGATTACAAAGGTAAATTATAGAAACTGGCAGCAACACTTACATTTGTCTGCCATGTCCCAGTTTTCTTCGTGTTATGTAATGCTATAAGAAGAAGAACATAGATATAGGTAGTGATAGTGAGGAAGGCAGAACAATGTATATAGAAATATTGTAGTTAGGCACCATAGTTGAATCTTGCAAAATGCTCACCAGGTTTTTCTGGTGAAATTGAGCTACCTCCTTCCTCTTATGAGAGTCCTCTGAAAGTGGACAGAGCGACCTGGGGAAAAATAACGACTATCAGGAACAGAACTGTGCTTAGTAGACTTTTCTAAGCATGTCTCTTCATGAGTTGGTCTGTCTGATTCAGGTAAAGTAAAAGAAATGACAAACTATGATTCATGTGACTTCTTATGCTGAAGATGTGAAGTAAGAAAGTTGAAGGCAAGAGAGTGGTGTGGCAGTGACAGAATTCTTAGGATTGGTTAAAAAAAAAAGACAGTATACATGGAGTTTAATCTGTACTAACAATGCTACGGTAATAGTGATACCATCCTTTGACATATCTTCTTTACAAGCCACAGTGAAAGTGAGAGAGGAGAAAGTGAAGGAAGAATGTGACCCTGCATTCCTTTTAGTTGAGATCAGGGGCTGCTCTATGCAACAGGCAGCCGCTGAGAGCAGAAGAGGCAGTTCTAAATCTTCTTTTCATTTCAATTTGAACAAGGTGAGGCCCACACTGTTTGCACAGATTTTCTACTAATAACTTTTCCTTCTTGAAGAATGTTTCAGGTTTGAACAATGAGGTCAACCTTGTTGGATTAGAACCATTCAGCACCTACGTTATCAGTGTGTCTGCATATACCAAACTTGGCAACGGCAATCAGTTCAGTAATGCTGTCCAATTTACAACAAAGGAATCAGGTTAGATATGACTTCTAATAAGCTGCAGTTCTCTTTATGTAGATTTTCTTGTATAGTTGAACAACATTTTTCCTCTTCTTTCCATACTAAATGTAATATAACGCTATCTCATTGTCATCTGCCTGCATAACATGGATTCCTACTGCACCAGATAGGCTGGGTTTAAAGTTTGATGTCGGAAGTGTAGAATTAGAAATGTCCTCATCTGAAATGAGAGGCTTATATGGCTACTATAAATCTTTTAATAGCAGCACAGATAATGGGAGGAAAATTAGATAGATATCAGACTTTGCAGATCAAAGCAGTAATTCAGATCCCTGTGAAAATAGCTGAAACTTTAGCAGTATCAAAAGCAGATGGACAAAAGATTGGCAAATGACCTGGAAATTACATTAAACAAATGCAAACCTTTTACATATTTGATAATTTATTTTAGGAGGGGAAGCTAGTCACCAATTAAATACCTTAATTTGTTACATCTCATTCTTCCTGACAGCTGGGGAGGACTATGAGATACAGCTGAGTTAGTTTATTAATCATATGCTGTTTTGTTTTGTACATTCTATATGCTTTTTAAAATTGGAAGTTGCTTGAAAATGAAATATTATTTAATGAGAAATGTATATTTAGCATTCACTAAAGGCAGTCCTGGACAGACTGGCCAGAAGTTGTGGACAGAAGTTCACAAACGAAGTGGCCTTTAGGTGAAACCTTTGCTCTTTTGCCAAGTCAGAGCAATGTTCAAGCTGCTTTACTTTATAAGGGCTGTCAGAGACAAGAGACTAGCAATGGATAGGGACCGTGTTTATCTTCCACGTTCCTTTTATACCGACAACACTGGAGTAGAGGAAGTATTAAGGAAGTAACCTTTGTGCCAACTAGTTTTTCAAGATCACACTTTCAATGAGATGTCCTTTACAGAGCTTATTAAGCTGGTTAAACAGTGTGCAGGAAAAAAATACACTGTTTATTATATCCAGCAGTTAGAACACCATGAGAAATCTGGACTGCCACTGAACCAGGTTATGAGCTGAACACTGCAAGCTTGTCTGCTGGATCCCTGCAGCTAGATATTGTCCTGCCCAAGGGTCACAGGGAGCCATCTATGACATTCAGTGCTCCCAATGCTCTTTCTGAAGTGCTGGAGAAACACTGCCCACAGGACTGTGATGGTTTCACAGCTTTTCTTTTTGGATTTTATGGTCAACAAATGATACTGTTTTTTTTTTTTCCCTCCAGTTGGACTTTTGAGCAAAGAGTAGATCTGTTACACATTGACTCACCTAGGGATCCTGTCTACAGTCTTTATTAAAAGTACCAGTTATTCTCCCTTCTCCTGCAGATGCTGCTTTTTTAAAATGAGTAGTCTTGAAACTCTGAAATGAAAAATAGTATTTTTAAAGAGATTAATTTTCCTCTGTTCAGTGATTACTAACATGTTACCTTTTACTTCTGGTATGTCAGTGATAGTTCTTTCACCATTTTATAGGTTCTTGAACATGTTTCAAGAGAGAGAGAATAGTCTGAGGCACCCTTCAGCATGCATTTACTTTCTCTCAGCTGGCACTGCCACTTATTTAGCTTTTTCAGGGATACTTCAATTCATTGGTCTATTTAATCAATTGTCACAGCTAATAATTTCTCTATTTTTGGCATGCATTTACATGCTATTTTCCACCTTTTATTAAATTTTGATGACCTTATAAAAAAAAAATCTGCTGGGACCAGCAAAGAGATGAGGACCAGTAAGGTAATAATATTGACATGACAGCTCTGAAGCCTGCGCAGTGACTTCTATGCAGGACATGCCCTGCTGTAAGAACAATGAGATAAGACACAGTACCTAAAAAGAAACAGTGCTAACAACTTAATGAGGAACTTCTGCTGTTGATATGATGTGAAATACACGATCTTCACACTCCTGTGTATACTTAACTACATTTTATTACAAAAACATGGGGAAAATGTGAACAGATTGAAAATAAAATTGGAGCACACAGCTAAGAAAAAGCCATATAAATGCTCTCTTCTCATTAAAACACTAATGTAAGTCAGGTTCATAGCTGTTTAAAATGAAGCTTCTAATGAGGGCAAAGATATTTTTTGTTCTCTCAATGTCATGCAATTAAAATGTCTTTTTTTTTTCTGCCATTGGAATGTTGCTTGCTATGAAATTTTGACTGCTTCTCTGAGTACAGTGGTCTGTGATGATCATTTTAATTGTGTGAGAATGTTAACCTTTGGAATATGTGTATCTTTTAAGTACCAGATGTTGTTCAGAATGTTCATTGTATTGCAACGAGCTGGCAGTCAATCCTAGTGCAGTGGGACCCTCCTGCCTCATCAAATGGTGTGATTACTCACTACGTCGTAACAGTTGAAGGAAATTCTATGAACTTTTCTTCTTATGATAACCTGCATACTTTTAGAAATCTACTTTCCAATATTTCTTACCAAATTAAAATAAAAGCTGCAACATCAGCTGGTGATGGTGAAGAACAAATATGCAATGCCAGCACATTTCCAGAAAGAGGTAAATAATTTTTGAAGTTAAATGTTTTGTTTAATTTAAAGTGTGGCTATGAAACTAGCAATCCTGAGATACCTGCATCATTACAGCAGCTAAATACTTCCCTTGTTCATGGACAGGACATGCCTTCTGTTTTAGAATATACTTGGTGATGAAGAAGGTATTAATTGCCTATAAACTAGAAAGAGAAAGTGTATTTTTTTCTGTGTTGAGTCCAAATTGCTCTTTTATTTATACTTGAGCACCCAACAATACTATTGCCTGAGTCATAGTTATGCTTCTTTTGCTCCTTCTGCCTTTCACATATTTAATACCATAAGTCTGCAAATTTTACTGAGAGCAGTGTTGTTCTTACCTGCAATATCTAGTGCTTAAATTCTATGGCTAATTCTGTGACTTTATTGATCAAAAATAAAGCTGTTCAGAAATTGTGCAGTTAAGAAGCGTTTCACTTCTTCAAACATACACTGGCATAATTCTTGAATGAATTGGATTTTTTAATAGCATAGAAAACTGTGAGCTAAATGCAGAGAAGAACGTAGGCAGTTTTTTGGCAGTGGAGTCACCCAACACCTGTTCTTCTTACTCTTACTCTTACACATCACCTAATCCTGGCTGTACTTTCATTTGGCACCTGAAACTTCCTTATTTACTCAGAGATGTAGTTCTGTGCATGATAAAGTGTTGCTTCTGTGTAAACTACTATGCTTCTCCTAGCATTTCCTAAACTGTGTATTAACAGGACACAATTTTCCAAAAGTGATTGATTCAGTAAGCATATGGAGTACATATTATGTGCCCTGATATTGTGGACTGCTCACAAAATGCAGTCAAAGCTGCTTCATTGGAAAGATGACTAGTAGTGGTAAGCAGCACACATCTTTTATCTGATTCATTCATCTAAAATATTAATGCTAATTTCAGTTCCTTTTCCCAGTTTGAGCATTCCTACCCTAGGGATGGTCAGGACTGGTTACTGCTTTTAGTTCCTATTGGTGTTTCTTTCTCACTGACACCACTTCATGCACGGGAGTTGAGAAGATCTTTTATCCAGGGTTTGTATCCCCTGATGCTTAGGAAGAAACCAAACCTAACTAACTATCCTAGTGTTTTAGTTCCAAGCTTATTGAATAAAAGATGACTGACAGCACCCATTCACATGTAAAACAGTGAGCCCTGCTCAGTTCTGTCAAGTAATAGACACAGGAGTCTATGTCTGAGAAGGATTTTCAAGTTCTGGACAATGAGTGGAGAGAGGCAGCTCTAATATGCAAGGCTGAGTCACATATTTAAAATGCAGGGGGGATCAGAAAAACTTAGAGTTGCAGCTGTTGGTTGCTTCCCGAACCTTTTTAGGCTATGAACCTTTTTGGGCTGAACCTTTGGATCTCTTGGGTCTCTTCCTTAGTACCACAAACTGGGCTTTGAATACCACCTTTCTTACAATTAGGCTTGTGGATACTTATGTCAACACCCTGCCTGCTAAACCATGTTGCTGAGTGCCTCATCTACACATTCTTGAACACTGCCAGGGATAGTGACTCCACAACTTCCCTGGGCACCCCGTTCCAATGCTTGACTACACTTTCCATGGAAATATTTTTTCCTAATATCTAACCTGAGCCTCCCCTGGTGCAACTTGAGGAGATTTCCTCTTGTCTTATTTTTGGTAGTTATTCTAGAGAAGAGATCGATCCCTGCCTCATTACAACCTCCTTTCAGGCAGTTGTAGAGAGCAATGCAGTCACCCCTGAGCCTCCTCTTCTCCAGAATAAATAACCCCAGCTCCCTCAGTCGCTCCTCATAAGGTCTGTGCTCCAGCCCCTTCACCAGCTTCGCTGTCCTTCTTTGGACACGCTCCAGCACCTCCATGTCTTTCTCGTAGCGAGGGGCCCAAAACTGAACACAGTGTCGGAGGTGCAGCCTCACCAGTGCCGAGTACAGGGAGACAATCACTTCCCTGGTCCTGCTGGCTACACTGACATAAGCCAGGAGGCCGCTGGCCCTCTTGGCCACCGGGCACGCTGCTGGCTCACGTTCAGCTGCCTATCGACCAACACCCCCCAGATCCTTTTCTGCCATGTGGCTCTCCAGCCACCCTGCCCCAAGCCTGCAGTCATATTTACAGCAAACTTCTTATTAGGACAATATTTCCCTAACCGTGTGTTTGCATGAATTGTTTTCTGGTGACTGGCTACTGGGAATTGGAGATTCATGGTTGGGAATGGAAACAGTTTTATAGCTGTTGTCAGCTTCTTATTTACGGTGCTCTAAGATTAGTCACAGAATATGTAGCCAGCACTGAGTCACTGACAATGCATTTATTTTTGACATAAAGTGAAATTGAATTTGGCTCAGTGTCTCACAGCACAGTGTTTGACCTTTACATTCTTACCAAGATTTTTGACTCTTTTGAGGTAAATTTCTTCATATCTGCGTGCAATTAAACATGACTCATGAATATTAAATTTATGACGAGATTAGTAGTGTTTGGTGTCTAATCTAGCTCCATTCTCATGGTAAACCACTTATGCCAGGGTGGAGTAAGTTATAAAAACTGTCGACCTTGTAACAGTAATAATTGTGTTTAACTATATTATATGGGAATATAGTTTAATATATGTTTAACTATATTATATGTGATATGAAAAATAATATAGCAAGTATACATGCGTGAGTGATTTTTTTTTCTTTTATGATAGAATAGCTGTCCTTGGATTATTTCCAAGGAAATACATATAATAAATGAAAATTCATTTCGCTTGAGTGAATTTTTAGAAGAAAACCAGCCATAAATTGCTAGAAAACTTCTCATAAAACATTTTTCCATTTAAAGCTGTGCAAATTCACTCAGCTCAGAAGTCTGGGACAAGTGTAATAGTCATTCAGTTAAGAATAAAAATAGAACCATTAAAAAGCCATTTGGAGGTTTCAAAGCATAAATAGTCAAAAGTGAAAATGGCTTCTGCTTTCAATTTTTCAAATTTAGATTTTTCTTAACATACTTTATTTTCTGAAAATACTAAGCCTATGTATAGTATAGTATGTACATAGTATTAAGACATACAGAGTATTTTTTCCGTTCTCACTGCTAGTACTATTTATATTAAAATTGAACAAAGATTCTTGCAACAGGTTTAGGCCCCTGTTACATTATGATAAACAACAGTCATTACCATTTATGTTTTATAGTAAACAACTTCACTCAGAACTTGCATTTACAGAAAATGCAGCTTGGAATTTGTCCAAGAAAAAGAAATTAATCTGACTTTAAGTATTATTTCCAAGACTTATAGTAACACACATATGTATGCCTTGAGAATAAATAAAAGTGGTGTGGTTAAAATATTAGTAGTGTGAAAGTTTCTTAGGTCTTATGGTTTGATAGCAAAAAAAAATAGTGTCATCTGTTCATAATTTTGCTCAAAACATCTTGGATTTCTGAGTAGGAAACCTTAAAAGATTCTGGTTTTGTAGCTCCAAAGAAGCGGGTTGCCATTGGAAGTGTGGTTCTTTTGTGAGGAATACAAAATGCAGTATGGGCATAAAATCTTTTCACATCCAAGGCAATGCTCTGTTTGCTTCACCGTAAATCCTTCTCTTAGGATGTGGCAGCTCAGAGCAGCTCTGTGAGTTCAAGTGCCATGAATTTCTTCATTAACCTGTGAAGGGAACCACAGATGGCCATAATTCACTGGAGGAATCATTTAAGTCAATATCCCAAAGTGGGAATTGGGCTACAAGCATGGAGTGAAAGTGAAAGCACAGTGTGTTAGCCAAGTTAACTAGAGCAACTACAGAGCCTCAGCATATGAAGGGAAGAGCTTTATTGTCTCCAGTCACTACTACAGAGAAGAGCAGTGCATTTCACTTGTTCAATCACAGGTGCAATCACATGTCAAAAATGTAGTAAAGTAAAAGCATCCAGAATTGCACAAGGAATCATGACTAAGTATCTTTGAAACAAGTCTTTATATGATAAGTCTATTTGATATCCGTCTCAGATCTTCTTAATATAATGTGGACCATTTTGAAAAATTTCTCATTAGTTGGTGTGCCCAAATGCAAGTTAATGGTCTTGATATCCTTGGCAGATCTTCCCTACGCGAATGTAGTGATCACTTTGTTGCTGCCAATGAAATTGCATAGATATTATTTTTACAAGCAGGTAGATAAAATAGAGGAATCATATAATGTAGGATAAAATATCCTTTTTTGTAAGTGTCAGGTCAGCTCTGGATTAACACATAAGAACTGGTAGCAACATGGCTGTGCAATGAAACCATTTACAGGTCAAAGACCTTTTTTTTTTCTAAATAGAAAAGTAAACAGTTGTCTAGTTTGGTGGTAAGGTGGGTATTCTTGATTTAATTTAGGACTTATGAGTGTTGACTGTATTCCAATACTTTTCTAAGCTTACATTCAAGGTGTGTTTTTCTTAATAGATTTTTAGAATTTTCCAGTATTCAGTCTGCACAACTGGAAGCTTAATTTCCTAATGTGCTAAGGACTCAGAGACCCAGAGGTGACTATTTTTAGGAATTGTTCATGATTCTGTAAGGTCTGCTCCTTTAAAGCATGCCTGATAGTATCAGTCCCAAGTCAAGAGAAGAATTAATCTAGAGTTTTCTACATCTTCATGTTAGTAAAATCGTTTGGGGCCTCTCTGTGATGCCCTTCTTCATACTGAGCTGAAACCTTGTATCATGATGAGTCCACCTGAAAGCAGCTTTTATTAGCGTAGTATTTTCTATGATCAGCGATAACACTTTAACAAAGAGAACTTCTTTGGGTAACAAGGTCTTTCAAAAATTAGTACAGCTGGTCCATACAGAATATTAATATGCAGTACAGATTATTTCATTTTCTGAAGTTCTTATTGTTGTGCGTCCCCTGCTATTTGTTCTACTTTGTTCTTTACTTTCCTCCTATTGATGCTCTTAATACCACCCAACAGACTTCTAGGCTGCCGCTGTCCTTTTAATCCAAACTCCAGCTACAAGCAGCTGTTCTGTATGCAGACTTTTTTTTTTTATTAACTTAGTTAGGAACTATGCCATATCACATTACTGTCTTCTGTTCCCGACCTGTGCAGCTGTAGCCAGGGCTTTCCACAGAAGGATCTACAGAAAAAGCCATAACTTCTGTCTTTTCTCAGCAGACTTTTTGTGCATGTGTCCTTTGCTGCCCTTTAGTTATCTGTACTGTTGTGGATAAGATTTTTTTTTTTCCTGCAAAGTGTATCTTTTGATTCAAACCAATTCTACTGGCCCAGTCCATCTTGATCTCAGTCTTTGTTCAGTCAAGTGCTTTTTTCACCAGGAATTTCCTTTCATTTAGCTTCTTAAATAAAAAGTAATCTCAAGCATTCCATACTGCTTTGGAAGAGCTGACTAGCATTGCAGCCAGAGGAGTGTAGGAGGGGCCAAGAGCCATGAAAGTAACTTCTATTTAGGTGCTTAACTTCCTGTCCATTTCTGTGGGAGTTTAGGCACGTAAATAGGTTTTAGGAGCTTAAAATCCCATGTGGATCTGGCTTCAGGCACTTTTCCTGGGTGTTTGGCTTTTATATGAACAATGGTGGATAAATCTGAAATGCCTCATTCCTCCTCCAGTCCAGAAGCTGAATTCATCAGCATTTCATAGCCAGCTTCCTTGCCAGCTCCTGGCCGGCTTTCAGAAACTTAGTTAAAGTTACTAAATTGAAAACTACGGGGTACCTTGTACCAAAAGTTTCAGACTTTGAAATTGCCCCTACTCCTAAAGCTATCTGAAATTTGGTAAATGGAGTATAATTAAATGTGAAAAGACTGTTAGCTGCATGATGATGAGACTTGAGGCAACTAGCATGTAATTCCTGGAAGATTTAAATATGGGATTAGCACTAGAATTGCAACTAGCTAATCAGTTATCATCCTACTGAACCCTAAACTTAAGCTTTTTCACATGCCTTTCCTTTGAATACACCCTTCTGGAACAAGGCAAAGTAATAAAATTACTGTTAGACATCTACCAAGGCAAGAATATATCTATAGGAGCAGAAGCATAAATATTTTTTATAACTCCAGTTTAATATGAAGGAGTAATTCCAAGATGCAATTTTGGGCTTTAATTGCTTTTATGTGTACAGTGATCACTTCATCATAGTTGAGTCATGTTCAGAAAATTTAGGCAAGCTGCATGATTACTCTAGGAAGCATGGAATGGTCTGTTCAAATCAGGACCATCTGCGAACAGAAAAGGTTGGGGGAACTGTAGTCATTCTTGAGGAATGGAAATCTGATTCTCCATGCTAGAGTAATTGTAATCCTCCTTGTATCTGTAACCCAATAGCATAGTTGTCTTGAGGTTGTCTCATTGTACGCACGGTCATCCAGTGCAGGAGACACAGCACCGCTGGGTGTCACTGCTCCTCACTGTGGGCTTTGGAGCATATCTTTGGTTTGCTGAGGACCCAGATCACATCTTTTCATCTGTTCTAATGAAAAATTACATTCCTCTCTGATTTGTCCATATAAGTAATGAGATAAAATGATCTAGGTTTTACAGTGACTAATGTTTAGGGCTCTGATTCCACTTTAACAACTGGTCAGGGCCCTGGGGCAGAAAATTTTCCCGTTCCTTTCACTGACTGACCTTTTCTTTCATAGGTTGGAAATTAGACATATTTTGTGATTTGGGTTTTCCTCTTTCCCCCAAACATAAGGGAGCCCAAGGAGGCTGGCTTTACTGGACTGTGGCTGTGTATGGGAAACCCCACAAATGAAGCCACTGTAATTTTTTCAGATCTTTTTTTTTGTTCCGTATAATGGCCAAGAGTCTTTTTCATCATTACTGCAGTACTGTTAGCTATCAATTCTGTTTTTAAACCATCGTCCACGTTGAAATAGGAGGAACAGTATACTGTTATAGGAGGAACACAGGCAATGCTCTTTGTGCCTGCAACTGGCCTCTTTAAACTGTCATTTTAGCAGTGTACAGACACTGAAGTTGTGCCAGCCCCTGCCGTACCAGCTGTGTGTTTGAGAGGGCAAAGGGATATATTTCCACTTTCTTCTTGGCACCTAGCAAGCAACCAGTTATAATTTACTTTATTACATGTGCCCTCTTTGTTATATTTGGAGAGAATTTGTGGTTCTTCTTTTTTGTCGGGACCCTTAATTATTGTAATGTTTTGTGGATAAATGATACTTTTTAAGATCTTCTTTGCTTAAAAGCTTGAGATGAGGGACTGTCAGATGTATTGATCTTTTCCCCTGTCCTCATCTGTAGACCTCCTGAAGGATGCTTTATGAGCATTTAATCCAGACTTTCATTTAAATCAAAGTATAGTATATTAATCAGCTTTCAGCAGATGGAAGTGAGTTATGGTATACTAAGAGGCATTACAGGCAGTTGTTTCAATAGCTGTGTTGCATACTTTCACACTTTTATTGCAAACCTCCTAATGCTTGCTGTTCTTATCAAGGTGAAAGGTCCTAGAATCACGTGCCTGAGAAGGCGAGGTCACATTCCTTATCAAAAAAAGAGTAATCTCCCTTGACTGAGGAGTTTTGAATTCTCTCAGATTCTCTCAATTTCGATCTAATCTGATGTCTTTGGAATTGCTGCCTCTTCATTTTTTAATTCTTGATATAGACAAGCTGAGTCCTGGAAGGACTTTATTTTAATTCAAGTTCATAGTGAAACTGAGTGATAACTTGCATTTCACTCAAACAGTTTTGCCCATACTGTTCTAAGTTTATCATTCTTATCACAACTGCATTTCAGTCATACTCTTTGCATTAACCTATACTCTAATAAATTGATATTAATAACCTTTATTTTAGTAGAGGATTGGGCTTTATAAAAAGCATACGCAATTTTATGTCGATCACTGAACATATTTCAGCCTTTATTTTCCATTAACTAAAGATCAAACTAAACCCTTTCTGTAATTAACATATGTAACAAATATGCTCTATAATAGAACAATGCATGGTTTCATAACAGAACTATTATGAAGTGAATATAGGGTTTCATAATAGAACTATTATGAAAATATCACACTACTATTTTTTTTCACAGTGAACAAATTGAGTATTTGCTTTAAAAACTCTGACCAAGCAAGGTCAAGGTACTGCTTGATATGCTTTAACTCTTTTCTTGTGAAAAACTAGAGTAAAACAGTTTTAATGTTGGCGTTAGAGGCTGTTATGAAGGCTGGTTTCAGGGAAGGCTCTTCTCATGCACTGGAAGCTCCTGCTCTGTGTGTGCTCGGTGTGCGGCAGGGTGGGAGCACGCAGGGCCAGTGTGGGCTCTGATGCTGTGGGCACATGTGTGGCAGGGGCAGGACAGAGGTGGCGCCAGCAGATCCATGTCCCAGACCTCTCTGCCAGCTCTGGCTGCTGTGGGCTCGCTGGAAGTGAGAGGTTTGTGTGTCCTTTTCTCAAGCCTTTCATCCTCACACCTTGGTTCGTCACTGAATGCGCATCTCTCTTTTATCCTGTGTTCATGTTTAGTGGAATGACTTTTGCTTGTTACATTATGATGATGTTTTATAAACAGACAGTTCCAGATGAAAGCAGAGATCATATATTCCCATAAAGCTTCAAAAAAAAACAACAAAAAACTTTTTTTCTTTGCCAGGGATCCTTTTATTCTTTGGGTAAGCCATGGGGCTTCTTCAGTTTCACTTTAGGGATGTATCATGTGTTTTTTCTTTTTCACCAGTCATACTTCTTCCTTCAAAGACCCCAAAGCTCTCATTATAGTTAAGTGCCCCAAATGATTTTTGAGCTGATTTCTCTGCACAGTTTTTGCACAGAGAGTGTTAGTATTATCTTCCAGAGAGTCGTAGAGATAATACTAGCTTACCGTATGACTGTGTGATCTAGCACAAAACCATATGTTCATCCAGGCTGAGAGAGCTGGAAGCACAGCATTGGCTTAATAAAGGTATGGATATGTGTGTGTACATGCATATTATGTGTGCACAAGTGTGTATGTATGTACGTACATCCACATAATGCCTCTGTCTCCATGCACATGAATATAAAGCTGTGTATACACACAAAAACATATTGTACACTTAAATTATACAAACACTCATAAACAGATATATATACATATACATTTGCATATAAATATATAGGAACAAAGTTTATGGAATATTACTTTTCTGTAATATTGTATTGTATGTATTGTACTACCATATTATATAGCTCTTCTTGCTTTCTTTCCTTTAATTTCTTATTTACTTAACTGTTTGCAAAATACTTAGCTACATTATATAAGAAGACACAAGCATATTATATTTATTTAAATTTACTATTCAGAAGGTGAATCAGAACACTTACGAGATCTTGATGTGTTGAGTATTTAATATATTACTGATAGAGAGAGGGAGACAAATGAGTATTTCTAAGTAAGTGAGAGGGGAGGAATCCCAGTTAGCAACAGCAGTAAAAGATGCAATGGATAGACCAAAAATAACTCTGCTTCAGTTGAGACATGGCCACAAGTGTAGCAGCAGCAATGTCACACCTCTCAAAGTTGCCCCTGCATGCCACACCTAAAACTTTCCTTCATTATGTTGAAATCTATAATAAATATATGCCAATTATAGCTATATAATGTGATTGACACCAATGGAATTATTCCTTATTGACCATATGAAAATGAATCCTGCTTTTAAATGTGCTTATATAAAATAATTTTGAAATACTGGATATATGAGTTATAGTTATAGCTGGTTTTCATTCAAATGAAGATATCTTACTTTACATTTTAAAAATGTTTTGATTTGTAGTTCCCAGTGCTCCCCAGGACATTGGTTTTTCCAATGTGCAGTCAACAAGTGTGACCTTGAATTGGAGAACTCCAAAATCTATCCTCGGCTACTTTCAAAACTACAAGATTACCACACAGCTACAGTCTGTACGTTGCAGTGACTGGGAAGTGGAGGAATGTATTGAATATGAGATGCATCACTATTTGTATGAAAATGTTTTGGATGGCCAGATAGAAGGGACAGTTCATGGACTAAAAAAGTACAGATGGTACAGATTTGCTGTGGCTGCCAGTACAAATGTTGGTTATGGCAATTCTTCGCCTTGGATTTCTACACAAACACTTCCTGGCTGTAAGTAAGGATGGTTTTCATATGTCATATTGCTATAACAATGTAATGGGTCACTAAATAAGTAAGAATGACAGATAGAAGTAGTATCTTTTTAGACAATAGTGGTAAATTTAATAAATGGTTAATTTCACAGCAGTTAAATTAATAAGATTTTGCTGTAGCTCTCCTGGTGTAAGATGTAATTCTATGGGAGACATGCATATTTCATACTACTTCAGATTTTAGTGCTGTTTTGTTGCTATCCTGTATTTACTGCTTACACAACAGCAATTTTTTTTCCCAGCACTGGTCCACATCTAGAATTGATAAGTGTGAATTTTGATACTCAGGGTTTTTATTCAATTTCCAGTTCATCTTTATATGCTAGGTGTATCAGTGTAAAGCAGACTTTTAAATTATTCTTTAAAATGTGCTCATTTGTGCCATGACGCTTTCCAGACAATAGCTGGATAATTTCCAGATAATGCGAACAATAGTTTCCAGCGGAGGAATTAAGATTTCTTTTCCATACTATATCCACCTAAAGATATTATAAATCAGAGTAGCCATATAACACCTAGTAATCCTAGAACCATCCTTCCTGAGTTGAGGCTTTCAGTTTCCAAGTAAAAGGAGGGTTAGTCGTAAGTCACCACTAGGTATTTGAGGGAAGGAGACAGGAAACAATCTGCAAAGGCAGTTGGCACTGGGACATGCAACCTTTCTTGCCTCTAGCTCAAAGCACAGCTGAAATCTGCCATTCGGCCTGTGTGGAACAGCTGAGAACCACCAAGAATGGCCTGTCTGAAACAGAGATTTAGCCATATCTTCACATCTTTCCTCGTTCAAAGTCAATAGGCAATCTTAACCAAGATGCCAAGGACTTAAGATGATTGTGTACCAAGGATTATTCAGTATATACTTAGTTTTTCATAATAATACAATGTGAATTCAGGAGGTTTTTATACAATTTTTATTGTAGTAGTCTAGTTCAGTCTGCGTACAGTAACACATCCATCTACTCTTAAATACCTTACACTTTTTCCAATAGATAAGGACATGCTGCTATCTCCATTTACAGATGAGAAACTGCAATTCAGAGATTATAGACCCCAGAGTTAAAGAGATTGGAACACTATGGTAATGTCCAGCAATAGCTAGGTTCCATGTAAAACACCGAAGCAGTGCTTGGGACTGAAAAGGACTGCAATAAGCTGCGGAATCATCCTCATGTGTGCTTACTTTCACTGTACAGTGTTTTTATAGAATAAGCTGCCCATAGGTTAATACAATATTTTAATTGAAAGTAAAAAAACAAAATTAGAAAAAAAAGAAATGTATAACCCTGATGGACCAAAAATAACTTAAAAAAAATGCAACCTGTGAAGCCAGCAGCTCTGGGGCAATTTCTTACTGCTAGATGGATAGGACAAAGCTGCTGAGAAATGAAGTGGGTTTTTTTGCGTGTTAGTTTTCTTGTTTGTTTGTTTTCCTGAAATTGTTGTTGTGTATAGGAATGTGAAAGTTTTAAATTAAGACACATAAAATCCCATAAAAATAGGATCATTTTTAAAATTTTCTTTCTGGACAGTGTTAATCTGATTTAAAAGAGAGCTGGTTTCCTATCAGTTCTACTGAGGAGACGGAATATAAAAGCAGGAACATTGCATTGGACTGGACAAATGATTTCTATGCCCATATATTGCCATTCTCAGCAATAGATCCTGTTTGCTCTATTAGCTAATTCAAAACAAAAATAGAGAGGTAGAAGATTAAACTGTGTCACTAGTTCTTTCAGCCCCAAAGTGTGAGGCCGTGGGTCCACACTTGTGTTGTGGGAGGAGGACAGTGCAGGGGCAGAGGGCCAATTTCCTCCGAACAGTGACGTGCTGAGAGATGAGTTGCGTATGAAACACGCTGACATGGAGTTGAGAAAGCATGGGCGATGTTCCAGATACCATAGCAGGGTGCAGGTGTCTTTCCTGAGCTAATGGCAATCAGCTGAGGAGGGAAAAACAGCAACATGACATGTCACAGCTGGTTAGGCAGCTGGCAGCTAAGCCATGGGTCAGCAGTATAAGAGCCTCTCCGAGCAACGCTTGATCCTGCAAAGGCAGGACCTTGTATGTCCCACAGACTAGTCTTGAAAAAGATCATTAAATAGACTAAAAATTCTTAGTTCCCCTCTGTCTTTAGCAAAGGTTACTACTGCCTGTAGCAGGGATAAGAGGCTGAGGATGCCCAAGAATTGACCTGGCGCTGCAGGCAGCTCTGCAGACTGCATGCACTGAGCAGGTGTGGGTGCCCCTCTTCTTGCCCTGGTGGACTGGGCCAAGCATCCTCCGGATTAGCCAGCTGGTGCACAGCCAATATACATGGTCTGTTGGGGCTTAAGGGTGTTTAGCTGCTATGTAAAACAGCCTGAGTACTTAGCCCATAAAATCAATGGGAGTTGTGTTTTCAAATTTGAGGGCAGGAGTCACTGTTTCTGATTTTCAAGAACCCACTCTGTAAGTCTCTGCTTCTGCCAAAAATAAATTTACCTTGGCTGTGAAGTTATACTAAAATCATTTTCTTCAGAAATAATTATATTGTCAGATTTTTTTATTTTGCTCAAACCTAAAGAAAGTACTGCAGTTATTATGCTCAGGTAGATAAACATTTCAACTATAAATGGTTATACTTTGTTGTTAGAATATCCAGAGATGGAACTTTAACAAAACAAATAAAAAATGAAACATAAAACAACCCTAAATACCCATTACATTTACAAGTGCCGAGTATTTAAGTGTTTGCTGTAAAGCAGCAGTATCTAATAAATTCTGAATATTCAGTTACTAACCTGAGGATGTTAGGTAATGTTACCATCATTTCAGTTCTTCACCACAAAGTTAAATTTTACTCATCTTGCCTTTAAGGCTATAGGAGTTCTTTTTAAGAGTCTTTAACTCTTTAAGCATGTTTCAAACAAAAATAATGGTTGTATACTGTACTGAAAGAGGTTACATGGTTGCTCAGTGAGATAGATTATAGGTTACTCAGTACAACCTGCTTTTCATATCCAAATAAAACAGTCAGCTTCTGTTTTGCAGATTATTCTCACAGGAGTTGTCCTACTGTCCCATAAAATAGTTTGATGGCACTGTTTTTGCTTGGCTGATGGATTATACAAAAGCCAAGATGAAGTATTTTCAATAGTAAAGGAAATGTTTTCCATACCTGTGGAAATCTTGTTCTCTCACACCTGTAATTACCTCGTGTTTCACTTTTGCATGATAAGGAGATTAAGATTGGCCCAACTTGTGCTTTCTAAGAGAAAAAACACTGTGAAGGGTCAGCGTTAGCTGGAAAATGAATGGCAGTGAGATCACTGACCTCATTTTGAATCTTTTACAGTTACACAATGCAATGTTTTTTGGTAAACTGCCAAGTCCCCAAGTGCCAGGGTATACTGAGATACAAAGGAAAAACCCAGATGTTGGAATGTCCCATAAAGGCTAGGACAGAGATGCAAGAGGCAGATAGTTCTGCTTCTCTTTTCAGCACCTTCTTTCGTAATACCTGCTGATAGCCAGTTGCTTGGTATACCTAGAGAAATGCTTCTGGATAGGGAAAAGAATGCTGCAAATCTTGTATGCCCTTTCTTCTGGGAGATTTTGCTTTAGAGAACATGGTTTTCTTTGTTCCATTTCTTCTCTCAGAGCTAAATATTGAAGAGTAAATACGACCTAATATAAGAGATAATAAGTGGTATGTTTAAATATAGCTAAAAGCAAGCTATATGATTATAAAATGAAGCAATTGAACCTAACACTGTTGTTTTTTTCCTGGGGAAAATTAAAAAATTAAAAATTCCTAACCAAACTGGCAAGCATGAATTTCCATTCATTCTTATTTCTGAGGATTATGCTAAATGATGGACTCTCCAGACTTATCTTCCAGCCAACACACTTAACTGCTGCCCTAGCATCAGGACACAGATGGATGGCAAAGATGACCCTGACCTCCATAAGACCCACATTCCTGTGCAAGGATAGAAGCATGATAATCAGGAAATGATGGTTATTAGTTACAGAAAATGCATTATTGTGAAAACCAGGAGAAAAGTGCTTATGAGAGGAAGTGATTGGATTATGGGGGAAGGAGAGAATAAGACTAGGTCGTTTCTACTGAGTAAATTGCTGTGATTTATAAGAGAAGGGGTATAGTGATATCATGGCCTCATATTGACTGGACTCATTTCACAAATAAACCTAAATCAGAATGTGGCAGCTACTCACCGAGGCAAACACAGTTTTTAAAAAGATGGTTTTTGTAAAGCATGAGGCATTCGAGACACGTTTCACTTTCCAGTTTTGTTTCTAATTATGCAGATTATTTCAGAAATTATTCCTAACTTTTTTATTATTCAGTTAATGTCTGTTATTGAACTTCTTGTCATGTAAATAAAGCAGATATAACTGTTTAGATTTTTTTTAGATAATTATCTTCAACGCGGTACACTCAGTATTTCCTCGTGGAGATCTAAAAATATATCAGACAAAAAATGGCATCTGGTAATAAAATAACTTTGGTTGGTTAATTTGGAGATTAGACTTTTAAATTATTTCGTGACATCACTGTCTAATACAATAAATTTGTATTTGTTTACGAACAAACTTTAAGAAATGAAAAGTGTCCATTAATGCTCTTAAAAAGTAAAGGAAAATATTCTGCCCAATGTCACATTTTTATGATTTGTGAACTAACTAAGGCTTTAAAACCAAAGTTATATGTCATTTTACAGTTTTCAGAAATTCTGATTGGAGATACAAGTAACCTCAATACCTCAGTAACTGAAATAATTTTTTTACACTAAAAAACGCTGGCTGAAAAAGAAGTGTGGCATAGATTATCTATAAAATAAATTTAATTTTCACTAATTCCCTCTCTAGGGGAACATATTTGTATTTTGCTGTACACTCAACAAACAACCTTCTCTGGGCAGTCCCTTTCTTTCACAATCCCTCAGGTACTTTCGTAGAAAATTCAGATACAATGTTCAGTCAGTTGTTCAGTGCTGTTCGGTAGTTTGGGAGAAATGCTTCCAGTGGGTTGCATTTGATCCATACCGCAAAGTCACATACGTTCCTGAGATTTGATCAGCATGTTCAAGTACCTGAGGGGTGATTGTAGGGAGGATGGGGCCAGACTCTTCTCCGTGGTGGCCGGTGACAGGACAAGGGGTAACGGGTATAAGTTGAAACATAGGAAGTTTAATACCCACACCAGGAAGAACTTACTGTGAGGGTGACAGAGCACTAGGCCACACGGGCTCTGCCCTGTTGTGGTAACAACCTCCTGAGAGGTTGTGGAGTCTTCTTCTCTGGAGATCTTCCAGACCTGCTTGGACTCAGTCCTATGCCACGTGCTCTAGGTGTCCCTGCTGGAGCAGGGGGGTTGGACTAGATGTTCTCTAGAGGTCCCTTCCAACCTTAACCATTCTGTGATTCTGTGTGATTCTGTGATAACCACAGCAACTCAGTCTATCATCTCCTATATCCCAAACTCTCCACAGCCCCTTCTCAATCCCCAAATCTCGTTTCATCCTGCAACTGTGCACACCCATCCTTCATGATGCAAAATGTTGCAATCTCCTTTTCATTGATCTTTCATTCATATTTTCTGTAGTTGCATACTTTTTCAAGTGTCATTTTTTTTTGCTTTTTGTAACCCATTTTCTACTTAACAAAATAACCTTGTATACATTGCAATTTCCCTCCTGTTAATAGAATTGATTATGGTGTGGAGTCATCTCTTCGATATCTTCGAAACCCACCTGGATGTGACTCTGTGCAATGTTCTAGGTGACTTTGTTTGAGCAGGGGGATTGGACTAGATGATCTCTAGAGGTCCCTTCCAACCTCAGCCATTCAAAGATTCTGTGATCCTGTGAATCTGATCTGAATTAGAGCACACAGAGGAGCTGTGCAGTCTACATGATGTGGTGGAGTATGTACTAGACTGCTGTCATTTATAGAGATAAGAATGTGTATATTATTGTATAAGTGGAAATAAAACCTAGAAAAAATGTAATTTCTCTGTAAAAGAGCACTTTTACCAGCACCTTCCAGAATTGATAGTGTTTTGGTATTTTCATTTTTTGTTTTTCTTTGTATGATGTCTTGAATATATACTGTCTCCCATATTGGGAGATATGGGAGATATTAGGAGATATTGCATGTGTCTATTTATGTAAAAAGGTGTGTATATATCTTACTTGTGTCATGTAAAATACGTGCAACTAATTTGTAATTAAAAGACCTATTGATTCAATTTACAGTGACGTTTTAGCCCACTTTATACACATGGTAGTTGTAATGAAAGGCGCTTTTCCAAATCCCATTGTATGCTTTGTAAATGAGAAATAAAAAATGTTGTAATTATTTAAACAGTGCATAATGATAAATGCATGAAAAAGTTTTATTTTCAAGTTGAAAATAATCTCTACAGCGCGCTAAAAATACTGTGTCATTTGTTGTGAATTGCTTTGGCTGTGATTCACATACTATTTTTTTTTTACATAGCTCCAGATGGTCCTCCAGAAAATGTGACTGTATTAGCTACATCTCCTCACAGTATTAATATCAGCTGGAGTGAGCCTGTCATCATTACTGGACCAACATGCTACCTCATAGACGTAACCTCAGTAAGGCAGCTCTAACCGTTATATAATTCATAGTAGTACAGATTTTTGGTGATATAAAAACAAATGATTTTATATATATACATATATATATATATATATATATA